ACTTAAAGATGAATATTCACGCGTTACTTATCATTAAAAGTAATTAGTAAGGGCATTCTACCTAAAAAGATGAAAGCAGAAAGATAGGTTATGATAAAGTTGTACATCCATATATTACCAACAAATTTATGCCGAGTACAGCAATTTTGTACTATAAAAATTGTGATTTTGTCGCAGATTTACAGCCTTTAACAGTTACTAAACTACAGTTACATAAGCGCATCCGTAGGAAGCAATTTCTTGGCTAAAATAGTAAATTTGCACAACAAAACAACAAGGCTCGGGTTTGTTGTATAAATGGATACAGTGATGGGCGTTTATGCGTATACATTAATTGTCTACGTCTCGATGTATACAATGTATATAATGAATTCAATGTATACAATAATGAAGACAATGTATAGTTTAGCATAAGTAAGGTTAGGTTTATTCGGAAGCGTCAGAAAGATGGTAAACACTGAACCGACAACTTAGAAAAATATGGTTGGACGCTCCAAGAACAAAGAAATCGGTAACCTAGGGTTCATTTGTTATTTTTAATTTATTAATATCTGTATCTTTGTATACGTATATAAATAAATATTATATATTTTTTAATTATTTATAAACTGCTTCCACAGTCAAACTAATAATGCAATGATGCAGAATTTGTATCTATCCTGAACTTTCAGTTCCACCTAAAATCGGAGAACCACTAGGATCGATCTGAAATTGATCACAAACAGATTCGACAGAAATGTGTATTTGGGCTTAGAAAACAAGGCGTTGCAGCACGTTACAGTTGTGTTCTGTGGCCTTCGTCACTGGATAATCCACATTTGGACAACATTCTTACAACTTAGAGAACAGAGAACAATAGAGAAATATGATCTACCATTAGCATCTTTCCACATTGGACCACGATTTCTTGGTAAACTCGTCCACAAGCGAATAAAAGTCCGACTGAATCAAACCATTTGCAAATATGTTGAAATTTCTAATAGCTTCAAGTACACACATTAAAAAAAGTGTGTATCGTACTAAACTGATCAACGCAGATATGTTTCACATCATCATAATTCCTGTTAATTCTAATATAAAACAGGTATTATTATAAGTTTGCGATATTTAGTGTTCTCGATAGATATCTACTATAAATTTTAAGGAGTTCGTATTTTGCCTGCTCTTAGAAAAGTGAATAAATTGCGCAACCTCGGAATATCCAATATTCTCGAAATTTAGTAAGCATATATCTTAAACTACTGAAACTGGGAAGACCAGCAAAATGAAAGTTTTACATGTTATTTTTTGCCTTATAAAGTAAAATTCATTCCATTCCTTGATAGTATGGATCTCTTGTAGCCTTATTCTGACCTCCAGCGTAGCGCCACTCACCATGACGAAATGCAGCTACAACTAATATGAACAATTAGCAATCTAGGATTTTCCCACTGCACCAGGCAAGGAAAGTGGTGTCTCTTATGTCTTCTTGATTTATGCATTAAAGTATCGGTAGAAATAGCTTACCCGATGCTTATCTAGGAACAATTTTGTTCGAGTAGCTTCGTCAACGTAAAAAAATCTCATTAGTTCTACGCAGAGAACTGATCCAATTGGTCTGCCAGATGACCTGGAAACTGTTAGGAAGAAGCAACGGATATGCAAGAGTGAGGATGTACGACGCGGCCGTAGCGGTAGGAGAGGCACAGAGGATGGAGGTGGGTAGCTCGTAAACTCGCCAGCAACCAGGTACGTAGCCAAATAATTATTTCAGAAGGGGTTTAGCGTTTTATAATATAAACATAATATAAACAGATCTTACAGCGTCTTCTCGCTTCCGATAAAGAAGTTCTGCAGCTGCTGGACAACCACAACCGAGGCCACAACGTCGTCCGACGACAGAATAGGATCAAACATTTGTGTACGTTATTATTCTGACGTCCATACCACTTAAAAGAAATACAAATGCATTTTTTGAAAAATTGTCTTTAGTTATGTACGAAAGTATATAGGTAACATTGCATTCTTCAAGATCATGAGATAATTTTAGTATAATACCTGTGAATCATAGAACTTTAATTCTAACAGAAAGTTTGCAAGTGTTGATAGAAAACAAAGACACACGAAAATATCACTTTATGCTTAAGTGTTTAAAATGTTGCCCGTTGTTGGCCAAACAATGATATAGGCGATGTTCAAATTCCTGACGGACATTTTCAAAAACATGGCAGCTTTCAATGATGCATTGACTAAGTACATCCAAACCCTCAGATAGGGGAGTAAACACAACAGGTTTCAAATGACCCCGTAGAAAAAAGACTAATGGCGTGAAATCAGGAGATCCAGCTGGTCCTTCTATAGGCCCTCTTCACCCTATCCATTTATCTGGAAACTCGTCGTCTAGCCATTGCCACACCGGAAGAATATAGTGACGAGGAGCACTATTTTGCTGGAGATATATTTCAGCTTCATCAAGTATAGGATTTATATCCTCTTCGACTTGGTTTTCAATGGTTTCAGTCATAAGCGGATTGATGGTATTTTCCAACATATGCAAATAAATGTCTCCATTCAAATTTCCATTAAAAAACAATGGCCCCATCACTTTGTTTCCTAAAATGCCTGCCCATACACCAATTTTTTGGGGGTGCTGGGTTTGCCATTCTACAAAAGCATGAGGATTGTCATTGTACTTTCAGTTATGCTTATCAACAAATCCATTTAAATAAAATGTGCATTCATCACTGAAGCAGATATTCTTCACATGAATGGTATTATCATTAATCGTTGCAGTCATTTGTTCACAAAACTCAACTCGCCTATCGAAATCGCTTTCGGTTAACTTTTCCAATATTTTCATTTTGAATGGATGACATTTATGGAATTCAGTAGCTGTGTGTTCAGAGCCTAAAGAAATACCAGTCGCAGCAACAATTTTGCGTAATGAGGTACTAGGACTTATTCCAAAATGACCCAATACTTCAGCTTGAGCGGTTTCATCCAAAACTCTCCGACAATTACGTTTTTTATTCGCAACAGATCCAGTTTGAGTAACTTTAGTAACAAGGTCCAAAGCATACCTATACGAAGTTATGTTCCCCGGATGTCTGGCGTTAAACGTGACGGCAGTCTGCCGAGCACATTGATTTTGTGCATATTAGAATCATTTCCACTCTATCGGCTAGTATGTAAACCATGCTGCAAGTAATATCTGAATCAATAAATTGATTTTCACTATCCCAAGATTGTCATAAATGTAACTGACACCAAATTAAATCCTTGATTTTCCTTAGCAACAAATAACTAAACAGGTATAACAATAAATACAGTTCATCCAGGATATCTGTGTTGATGAAAAGAAGTTGGAAAATCGGGTTGTGATTTGGTTGTTGCCACGTCTAATCTTCTGAATTGCTGCTTATGTTCGTAGTTTCCGTTTTAAATTATAAACGAATTGTAGACTTGGCAAACCCTAACGGGCAATATTTTAAACACTTATTGAAATAAAAAGAGATATTTTTGAGTGTTTTTGTTTTCTATTTGAACAAATGAAGTTAAACAAACATTTTTCTAATTTTCTCGAAAAGGAATCGACTGATTTAAAAAAATCAAACGTCAAAATGAAGGACATCGAAAGACCTTTCAAACAAGCTGTTACTCTATACCTCTTGTCATTCAAAATTTCTGAAGGAATAACCCTGGGGAGCCGTGGGTGAAAGGGAGTAAAGTAGTTTTTGGTTAAAAAATGGTCACCCTTGACAAATTTTTTGACGTGGATCGGCGTTTTTTCTTTTAGTCAGGTTCTCGATAAATCCGTGGTGGCAAGTTTTCAAATGAACACTCTGTATATATATTCCGAAACTGCTTCCATTCCGCATTCAAGCGTTTGTTTTACGCCAAGTAGCGAAGAAGTACGGTAATTACAGAAATTGAAAGGAAATACATTTTTTGAAAGAAACATGACATATTGATCACGAAAAATCATGACACTCCTTTCCGTCGGCGTGTCTGAATGTCAGTCTGCCTGACGATCTGTCTCTACAACTTAGAAAATTGGCTTTCTCTCCAAGTTTGATGGTAACCTTGTGACTAAATTAGACAAGGTTGCCATTATGTCAAGGCCGAAAATGATTTTTGGGTTTTGAATATCGAAGCAGTGGCGGCGAAGCTACGTGCGAAAAACGAAGAAAAAGACGAAAATCGCTCAAACTTCTATTTGTGACATTTCAGCGGCTCTTGGCCATTTTCAGCAATCCTTGTGGTACCAGTAAAAGACGTTCTGTTATTAAGTGTCTAGCTCCAGTAATATTACGCAACTGTTGGGTAAATAGCGACACGTATTTTCCATGTATTTGCCATTGAAACAGAAATATGATAAGCGGTGAGTGTTTTTTGTATAGTTTGAGATGTAAAACTGTTCAATTTTATATCTAAGGTGAGTACACATACCAGTCAGGTTTCGATTTCATTATATCCTTTCAAGTAAGCTTTTTAAGAGGGGTTTTGCCAGCTACTTCTAGAAAATATGTTAATGTTAACTGTATATGGCACATGCAATTCCTTTGATATGTTTTCCTTCAATCACAGTCCATATCTTTTGAGAGGGCCATTGAGAATTCTAAAATTTTATGGGATTGAAATGGCGGACTTTTATTGAAAATTTCAGCCTTGATATTCCCATTCCACGGGCTACATCTTAAACGGCTGGATGGATTTTGACATGTGTGGTGTCTCTAAATTTGTCTTGATAATGCAAGCTACACTAAATTTTTATAAAGTCAAAGTGGCTGGTTTCAAATCAACCTCAAAATTCCTATTTCACGAGATACAGCTTAAATGACGCGACTGACTTTGACGTACGAGGTGTCGCTTAATTCGTTTTGACAGTACGAGTGACAATGGGTATTTCAAATTTTTTTAAAATTTAAATGGCGGATTTAAATCGAAAATTTTTTCCTTGAAATTTCTATTCCACGGGCTGGAGATTAACCGGATTGATTGATTTGGACACATGATGTATTTTTAGATTTGGTTTGACAGTGCAAGTAGGTATTCTCAAATTTTATGGAATCAAAATGGTAGATCTTTAAACGCGAATTTCATCTTCGAAATTTATATTTCAAGGGCTACAGCTCAAATGACTTCATATATTTTGACATTTGAGGTGCCCTTGGATTCACCTTGGCAGCAGAATTAGATCTTGATTCTTTGTAGTTACTGCAGTCGGGTTGATTGTATTTTCTGTGAATGTACATGTATAATTTAGGAATTAAAATATTGTTTACGTTATACTTTAACATAGTAAATAAAACATTTCATGTTCATTACAAAATCCATACTCTAATGTTGAATTTTATTGCATAAAGTTCCAATTCCAATTAAAAATCTGCTATTTATCTTTTGTCTTCTTGCACAATGCGATTTTCGTTACTCGTATTATGCAATTAACGATGGATTTATATAACTCAAAAGTATCATACATTCACACCTTTGACCTTTAGTTAGGGAAAAGCTCTTAGAAATGTGGAATCCTAAAATGTACAGAGTGCTTCATTTGAGTTTGTGAGAGAGTATGTTTTGCGTTTCTGACCACGCTGTATCGAACCGCCAAAGAATCGAAAAATGTATAAAACAAGTTAAAATTTAGTGTGATAAAATTATCTACTTGACCTTCAAGATAGTAGATCTGTACGCTTGTCAAGCCTTTTTTATATGTAATACCGAATAAGTCAGCAACTAGAATATATTACAAATCATTACTAGGATCAGATTCTGAGAATATTCTCATCAGGTGATTTGGTAAAGTCTTCTCAGAGAGGATACATACATGGTTGTCTATTAGCTATCCACCGTGAAAATCCAAGACATTCACTGAGTGGACAAATGACAAACAATGGATATCAATTTTTAGAAACTCAGATGTCCGCCTATATCCAAGAATCTGGATACTACAAAACTGATATTATGTATTTTGTACCCAACGGATATTCAAAGAACGTTCATGGTTCGTCACTGAAACATCTAATGGTTGCTTCAGGTATATCCGGATGATCACAAGGTGTACACACGAACATGTAAAGTCCACATTCAAAACGAGGATAATTGAAAGCCTAACAAAGCAAATATGCAGTGTATTTATAATAAAATATGTATATAATATCTGTGTGTTCATGTAACGTCAATTCGTATTCTAAAAGTCTACTCGTGTCTTCCTTGCTCAACTCATATACTTCCTGCGTCTCTTCACCACGAGCAACAGCAGGAGCCAAGTGCTTCTGACTACACTTCCTACTAAGCGACATTTTTGGAGGTTATTATCTTGTGAGCACCATACTGAATTCACGCAACGATGTTCATTAGTAAGATAAATTGAGGTGAACAGTTATCACGAGACTTTTACACGAAAAACACTGTCAAATAATGTACCGCTTGGAGACACGCACAATGTACAACATTTTAGATGTACACAGACATGGAATAAAACAAAATTGAAGCCGGTAAGAGGGTTGGCTTGTCATTATGCCATTGGTTGCTCGGACACATGGTGGAGTATTCCTGCCACGTGACAAGATGTTATATCGGCATGTGCTAGAAAAGAATATTCTTAGCAAGTGAGCAAATAGGTACCCCTTATATGAATATGGTATGAATATTTGCGTTCCGAATGTTCTGAAATTGCATATTTTCAGAACGTTCGGCACGTGCTGATAACATGCTTCATTGGGATAGGCGTTTTAGGATCTAAACCGAACATTATATAAATGTGAATAGGCCTTTTTGATGTTTATTGGAAATGAAAAGGCCATAAGTATGTTATAAAAAGTAGGGCATTCCACTAAAAAAAACGAACATTGATATATGAGTGAAAATTGGGACCCACTGTATAATTACGAATATTCTAGAAATGCGCCTCCAGATTCTGTATTTAACAACCCATGTATAGTTTTTTGTTAAGATTTAAGTACGCACTTCTCAGTATGTTTGGACGTCTCTGTCAATTCTAGTGCAATACTGAACGGTGGGCGATCCGTTGGCTTCCTTTTTAAATTGGTATTAAAACTACACTCTTCAGTAATATGTAACACTCGATACTTTATTCAAAAGACCTTCCGATTATTTATGAAAAACGATTTCAGTTAAATGGCTGCCGTGGCCTTTCGATAGTTTGTGGGTCTATTTCATCAACAGCTATATTTTCCTTAAGATCATCAATTCTTTGAGGATCGTTAGTGTAACAGTGCTCCTTAACAGTACCCCATAGAAAGTAATCCATGGGCGTCAAAGCAATGGCCAATGTTAGTCTCCAAAACGGCTGATAACGCGATGACCGAACTCAGTGTGTAAAAGATCGATTATTTCACGGCTGGTGTGGAACGTTGTGGAATGCTGCTGGAACCAGAGATTGTGGAAGTGCATGTCATCTAATAGTGGCCACAAAGAAGCTCAACATGTCTCTATAGCGTTCCCCGTTTACCGACACACTGTTACCAGCTTCATCTTGAAAAAAAGTAGGGACCAATAATCCCACCACTCCAAAAGCCACACCAAACAGTTACCCTTTTTAGATGCATTGGTTTGTCTATGACGATATGTGGATTTTCAGAACCCCAAATCCTACAGTTCTGCTTGTTAACGTAACCGCCCAGATGGAAATGGGCTTCGTCCGAAAAGATGTCTTGGCGACCAAAATTGTCCGATGAGTTAGAGCCCACATAGAGAAACGATATCGAAGCAAAAGGTTATTTTGTCTTAACTATAAAAAAGATTCTCCCCACAGAAGTACGACTGATGCCCACTTGTTGTGTTCTGTGATGAGTTGACATTCTTGCGTTTGCACGCACACTCTGGTCGACAGTAGCAATGTTTTCGGCTGTACGTACTGGTCGAACACGCTTATACTTTTAAAATTTCAACATTTCCCACCATTGTTCAAAATTGAAACGATCCATTGCTCACTGCGGAAGTTTGACACAATATATCTGTCAATATGTTGAGCATGGAAGTGTTACCAACTGCCAAAACAATACTAACTTAATAATCAACTGATGGCCCACCTTTTTAGAAAGCAAACTATGATATCGATAGAAAAAATATATATTCTAATCTGAGAATTGGGATGCGGTGACCCCGGGACCCGCTCCTCTGGCTATGTGCCTTCGGGAACCTGCATCGCTGGCTGCCGCCGACCTTAATTAAATTCCATAATTAATTAGCTTGGTAGTTTTGGAGCACTTCGAGTGGTATAAACGGGCCACTATTAGTAACGTATGTTCCTGGGCCTGACTCAATGGAGCGAAGATGAATTCCATTCACCGTCATTACAGCATCGACCTGCTTGAACTCCTTCATTGTCCTAGATAGGTTACTACAACACATATTGCAAAATAGTATTTGTGATGTCAAGATGCTTATCAAAGCTGACATTAATTCGGGAATTTTGGTTCAGCAAATGATCCTAAACTTTGTCAGCTATTCTATTTATCTCTATCTATCTAAGAAGGCTGGATAGCTATCCACCATAGCCGTGAGCTTATTGTATGCCACACTTGTGGATGTTAAGCGAAGTCCCATTCAGAGGCTTTAATGAAATTGGCATTCTTTTGGATCAAGCCCCTTTTATACAGGGTGTAAACGTTCTGATAGTCATTATTTAAATGGGTGATAGAGGGAGTTAAAAGAAGCAAAAAGTTTCATATAACATCTGGGTCAAAACGGCATTTTTTTAGAGAAAAGCGACTTTAAAGTAAAATAAAAGCTGACAACGCCGCAACGCCAGACGCAAATTACGACGGAACGCAGCGTAAATAAAGATGTAGTTTTTTATTTTTGGTTCTTAAGTGTTATTTCATCATTTGATAACGTACTCGTAAAATGCAAACAATTAAAAAATACGGACTTACCACTAACTGTCTCAGCGCTTCACCTGGTGTGTGAAAGTTGATTGAACATATTAAAAAAATTCACTTATAAATAGGGAACACACTTTTGATGCATACATTGTTTTTCCTTTAAAAACCCACACTGCATTTTTTGTATTTAAAGAAGGTGTTCAAAATGTCATCCTCCACTTTCCACACAAGCTTCATTACGAAGCTTCATGTCGAAGTTGTCCATTTATTATTTCAGCCGCATTAAACATTTTTTCGCGAAGTTGTGCTTCAGCTGTTATTAGAGCAGCCCATAAACCATCCCTTTAAGTTATCCCCAATACCAGAAATCCATCAGATTGAAATCAGGCGATCTTGCTGGCCATTTTCACCGATCAGAAGCATTTCGACCGATCCAGCAATTTGGATAATGTTCATTCAAATACTGAATGACGCCTCTAAAAATGTGTGGTGGTGCCCTGTCATGAAGAAACCACAAATTCTCTCTGTAATGGCATGTTGTCTGAGATATGTTCCAAAAGTTCTGGTAGGTTATTGGCTAGAAAGCTAAGGTATCCTTCTCCTGACTACTTTGGGGGTAACTCGAAAGGGCCAATTACCTGATCGTCAAGAATACTCGCCCAAATATTTATTTTAAAACGTTGTTGGGAATGACCTTCACGACTGGTATGAGGATTTTCCAGGGCCCACGTGTGAGTATTATGGAAATTTAATATCCCGACTCACGTAAAAGTACATTCGTCCGTCGTTAGATTGTTTTTAAAGAAATCCTGATTTTCAATGTTTTTGTGCAAAAACCACTGACAGAATGTTAGTCTGCGAGGGTAGTCTTCTGGTAACAAGACCTGCACTCGTTGTGTACATGGTAGGGATAAAGCAAATTTTCCCGTAGGATTCTATGGACTATGGTATGCGATAGTCCTACGCGGTGGCCCAATCCCCGATTGCTGATATCTGCATTGATTTCCACGATATTTAAAATTTGTTCCTCCTGCTCTACAGTGGGACGTCTTTCACGAGTGCGAATATTAGTGGGCTGAACACTTCCTGTATCTCGATGTCTTTGGTACACTTGCACAAATGTCCTTCTGTCTGGGTGTACCCGTTGGCGAAATCTGTCGCGATAAATTTGAGCTGTAAGATTTGAATTGTGACGAGCTTCACCGTAAACTAACAACTTGTCGGCGAACTCTTGATTCGAGAACATTGTAAATAAACACGACGACGTACGCAAACAATAACTATCCACTGTTACTGTTTGCGATCGATTTCCGGTTCGATAAGAGTGATGAATGACCGACGCGCTGTTGTCATGTGTGTTTTAAATATTTAATTTAATGAAACTTACTTACTTACTGACTACAATTTTTGGCTTAACTTAGAAAAACTTAATGCCATTTATTTGTTAATTATCCAATTTAACAACGTTGTAGATTAGAGTATAAAGATTAGTAAGATTGTGGTCGATATAAAGCACTTAAAGTTGTAAACTATAAAGCCATTTAGACAAAAATCTATCGACTTTAGGACCATGGGTCATATGAACTTTTTGACTTGTGTTGACCCCCCTTACCCATTTCAATAATGACTACCATAATGTTTACATACTGTATATTGAGTTAGACACCTTAAGGTTAGGCCGGCAACAGTGTAACTACGTATCGCTGGCTCTATGTATGTGTTTTTCTAGAACTGTGGACATTTCTTAAAACTTCGGCTTCCTCTGTTTTAATTCAGCAGATCATTCCAAAGCCAGGTAAGGCCATTTTTCTCAACAAGGCTTTGATACTGTGAACGCTTCATTGAAGGTAAATGCGTAAGTCACTAATTCCTTTAATATCGGCCTTAACCAACTTAAAATTCATTTACGAAAAAAAAAATAAGGTTACGACCGAACAGAGAATTTACTTTGTCTTATCCACTTTGGCCGAAACAACTTTTTTTCACTCAATTCTCATTTGTATGACCAAGGTGTGCTTCAAATAAAAAACTCGCACAACACCACTCTTAAAAGATCATTTTTTGTTGATAATAAAAGGGAGTGGGTTCATTTAAAACCGATTGTCGATGATTGAAGAAGATAGGACGATTGAGTATATAATACTTTTTCGATTCAAGGTTTGAATGTCGAATGGGAAATTCGTTTCCTCCAGGGTGTTTGCTTTACCTTTGATTCTCCTAGTATCTGGAAAAAACTAGAACATTATAAATTAAGACATATGACATGTTGATAGGTCAATAT